GTAGTTTATTGTAGTCTTTGCGTTTTGATGTGGTGACTACGAGCCTCCAAATGTGCTTTTACTCTACTCCGTACTCTTAGTAAACCATGTGTATTCATTTTCTATTGTATTGTTATCAAATTTGAACTTGTACTAGGTAATATGACTTCATGCTATGGTACCATTGTGTTTTCCAGCTCACAGTGATTTTCACTGTGCGATTCTGAGATGGTCAGCAATGCACCAAGTGCAACCAACAATCCTTCCTGTGATCTCCACAACCCCTTTCCATACCTGTCGCCGCTCTTTTTCTGATTATTTAGGAACTATATGTATGATCATTGTCTGTATGTATGACAACTCTACTCCTCTCTGTACAGAGAGAGCGAGCCTGTAAGGCCCCAACATCTGGGCGTACAGCCAAACATACACTAGGGAGGTGGCGCAAGAGTTTATACTGGCTACTAAATTGGGTTTACGCAACACACATCTGGGCGTTCTGCCACCACCAAGTACACGGAGCTTGAACTTTTTTTTTTCTCCTAAACTGCACCAGAATAGGATCTGGACACAATATACTTCGGGATATATGCAGATGGATTGAAACAACCTATATATATTTTTTTTTCTTCACTTTGAACACATTAATCAAGCCACCCAAAATATATTTACTACATTTTTGGCTCCCTGTGATACATAAGAAAAGTTAATGAACAAAAACGGCAGTTCACCTCTACCATCAATTACTATTTTTTAACAAAGAGGGAAAAATAAAATAAAAATACTCTAAGTTACAATTATACAACCACTGCGACACTAGTGTTACTAACTTTATACACTCTAATTGACAAGTTGAACTATAAGGTTTGGAAGCTTTGAGCTTGTGTACTGCTGTAGAGTCTCTTTGTAACCAGAGCAACTCAATAAAATCACGATGAAACTTTTACCTTCACAACTTATTTGCGGCTTGGTTAAACTGTTGCAACAGCGTTATCACTGGGTAAACAACCAAAAACATGCCAATAGCTCATACTCATGCAAAGCCACCCGGGTGTATGGGTCATCAATAGTCAGCGGTCTCAGTCTGTCAGTCAGTTTTTGTTCAGGTCTTTGTTTTTTATCTTCTTTTTCTAATGTCGGACTTTGACTATGAGCTTTATTTTGAATTGCTTGTACTCTTTTGTTAACGAGAGATTCTTACTTTTGGGCTGCTTGTCACAGTTACAAATGTCCTCTTTGTTTCACCCGACCACTTTTCCACCAGAGGCTCATTAATCTTTACACAGGGTTTTTTATAGGGAGTTTTGTCTCTTCCCTTTGTCACATAAGGATCTCTCCTTTATAGTATTACTTTATCAGTACTGTCAATAAGTTACAGTCGTGTGCACACCTTTTCAAACTGTACTACTCATTTTATTGTCTAGTTAGATATTATTTCTTCTGCTCATTAGATTTCTGCACAAAACTTCTGAGTCTCTTGTCAGCGTAGCTTCCTGCCTCAAACAGAAACCACTCTTAACAGATTCCCTATTTTCTAGTTATTAATATGTAAATCTAAGCCAGTCCTTTTGTAGGCTCAGAGAAGGCCTCCGTAGAGGGTTTTTTTTAGGACCTACGTATCCAACTCACAATGGAGTTCTTTACAATTATTTGCAGAAATTGCTTTATCATAAGCACACAAGTCGCGTGGATTCCGTTGAGGGGACCCCAGACACTCCCACCTTATCACACAAGCGAGAATCACGCTGTACAGAAATAAATCTATGGTGAGATATGAAAATCTCTGATACGTGGCCTCTAGCGTGATTGTCGGTTGGCTGAAGAAGTGGAAGATGCCTCGGCCTTGACTCGAACACACGTTGGGGCGCCAATTATGTTGTGGCAAAATGACAAGAAGAGATGGCGAATTGAAGTTGCAACCAGCGGGAAGTGTTTTAATAAGAACAAGCCAACATCAACGAGTTTAGCAAATCGAAACAAATCCAAATGTAGGCCTATTACTTTTCACATATCACTTTTATAGTCAAACTTCACCCCCCTTAAGTTACTGGTCTCTTCATTGTCATGTTCTCATGACTTCGTTTGGGTCGAGCTAACCTTTTGGCAGAACACATGACTCATGTACGGGAAATATTTTGGCACAAATTGGAGAGATTTATTACAATTTATCTGGCGCACCTTGATCACTTCCTAAGGATGTTTTTAAGAGTCGGACTGTGTTCAGATAACACGTTATATAAACGGGTTGCTTGTGAGTCCAAATGTGTTCAGTTCAATCCTCGGAATTGTTCAAAGTTATATGATGATTTTCTCCAACAAAAACACTAAAGAGAAAAGACTCAGGGTTATTGTAAAATAAATGTCTGACATACAATAACTACTACTACTTCTACAACTAAATGCACTTTGTATTTAGCTGAACTTAACAATAAAGATAAATGTTTTCTAAAACTGTCTCCGCTGGTTTCGGTTATTTATCAGACTCCTATACACGATAAGGAACAAAAGTACTTCGGAAACATTGTTTGCTTAGTCGTGCGTCACAACATCCTGCCACGACTTCATAGATATGACTAACAACAAAGCCGCCTTCCATTACACTATGACAGCTTTTGGCATCCTAGCCAGTGATTGGCTGTGACCACTCCCTCTTCCTCTTCCCTCTGTCCCATTCCTAAGCTGAGCTACAATTGACTCATTCACTGAATCAGAAACAGCCTTCCAAGCCCCAAGAGCAATTATGGACCAAGTCGAGTTGAGCGGTGGTGTGATGCCCTTGTCTCAGGAAACAGTCAAGAAGCTGATCCAACAGTCTCAGGAGGCAAAGCAGCAAGCCTACTGTTGTTACAGCAATTTCAGAGTGGGAGCTGCTCTCCTGACGAAAGACGACACTGTGATTACAGGTAAGACACACACGAAGCTTCAAGTGTTTTCCTAAAACAAATCTGTCAAGTTAAATGCCATTGTGTAGACTTTAAAGAATAATATGAGAAAGCATTGTAAAAGTTAACCACATGGTCAGCCGGGAACAAATCAGAGACACGGAATTACTTCTGTTTAACTCTCGAGTCTTCTCTCGCTCCTTTTTTTTGCTGTATGTGATCATTTGACACCTGTGAGAAGTAATAAAATTTCATTAAAAGTAAAAAGGAAGTTGATCATTGGCTTGATCAGTTTCATTTGTCTGTGCTATGTTAATGATTACCTGACAACAAGGACAAGAAGCAACTTTCCTGCTTATGTTGCTCGACTGTACAAAGCGAAAATAGCATGGCAATCTGCTGTTACTGCAATGACCTGTTGAGTAACTGTTTGATCAGGAGAGAAGAAGTAAATAGACAGCCTTTTTGTGTGAGTTTCATTTTTCTGAAGCAAATGCACTTAAATAACTCATGACTGTATACTTGTGTCCTCTGGCAGGTTGTAATGTGGAGAACGCATGTTACAATCTGGGTGTCTGTGCTGAAAGGAATGCGATCGCAAAGGCAGTGTCACAAGGCCACAGAAGTTTCAAGGCAATTGCAATTGCCAGGTAATGTCGGCGTCTAATATGTTCAAGGTGTCGGCATCCAGTCACCATTACTCTACTACCAAACCATGACACATGAATTATTTCACACAACACAGATCTGTCTTGTGTAAAACTCTGGTAAAACTTCAACAGTTGGTTTACCAAATAGTGAGGCAAGAATAAGTTGGATGTGGATGTGCAGAAACCAAATGCTGCACCAAAATGAGCAGAAGCTTCTTTTAAACGGCTTGTGATGATAAGGTTTGTGCAAGAAAGCTGTATAGAACAGAGCCGACTTTAGAAAAAAATACCAAGATTTGTAGTGAAGTCACACCACCGCGAGACACTGTCATCGCTCCAAAACAGTAGAGGCTACAGTGTATAGGTGTTCAACAATAATCCCAGTTTTGTTTCTCAACTCCATTTTTGCTCATGTGTTCCTTGCAGTGACATGAATGACAAGTTCATCTCCCCGTGTGGTGGCTGCAGGCAGTTCATGAGAGAGGTACGATCTCTGCTGGTCTACTGGTTTAGTGCAGCTTTTAGTTTCCAGTTTGTGATGATATATTCGTATTAACTTGTCCTGATGCTTTGTGAGGACTTGACTACTTGCTATATTTGATTTTGATGTCATTTCCCTCTCAGTTTGGATTACACTGGGATGTCTACATGTCAAAGCCCGACGGATCGTACCTGAAAAAGACTGTGGAGGAGCTGCTACCTGTCTCCTTTGGCCCTGAAGAACTGTCCATGTAGAATGTATTTTGACATTCCTACTGAGTTCTGAGCCTGCATTGTTGTATGAAACACACACAGACACAAGAGTGGTTGACATGCACAATATTTGGTTTAAGGAAGCAACACAGAAAATGACATATCGTATCCATACGTTTTAATAAATAAACAGTTTTAAAATGAGTTTCTTTTAATAATTTACACTTCATTTCTCACAGTAGGATACAGACAAAAATGAAGTTCAAAGGGCATACAAGAAGAAATATAAGGGTTACAATGTACTGCAAATTATTCAGTTACAGAGTAAGAGGAGGAGAGAGACGGGGTGAAGCATTTCAGCTGCCAGTGCAAATTCACTAAACACTTATTAGTGATTTTAGGTCTACATATTCCATGCATTGACATTTACAGTGGTTTAAGGAAACTGGCTTAAAAAAGAGAAAGTATATTTGTTAACATTTATCTTTTACCTCTGATTCAGACAATCAACTTAAAAAAAAAAAAGAAAGTGAAACCGGCCCCAGACAAAACAGCAAGTGTAAAGACAAAAAGGCAGATTTGTAACATTTTGGGTATGATTTATCCAAGATGATATTTAACTTGGCTGCGAGCATATTTAATGTTAAATCCCGAGACGAACAGCAGCATGACATGGCAACTTGGTCTGAGCTTTAAACAGCAGGAAGAATCCTATTTAATCATTAACTAAATTCTAAAAACATACTTAAATGTAAATGGTTTTTATGCGAGTTGATTATTGATTATTGATCTTAATGTCTGGAATCAAAAAAGGTCAGCAGATCTATAACAGCAAACAAAGATGAACTAAGTGCATCAGGCTGAGTTTCCACGTCTATATTCGTAAAAACTCACGATCGGAGGCTGTCAGTCGAAAAGATGTGTTTAGGCTGAGAGGCTCTAGGTGGGTTCAAAGGACTTGAGTAGAGCAAAATAATTGCGCTTTTTCCGAGCTGAATGATATCACATAATGAGTTAAAAAGAGAGGAAAGCAACACAGAGAACTAGAGTTAATCTGTAACGCACACAGCTAGCTGCAGCCTTCGTCTGTGCCATGATGCTTATTGGCTGTTTTTGGGGGGAATGAGTACACCACCTTGAACAGGATCTCTACGTGTGTAAAGATTGACTGTGTGTGTGTATGTGTACTACAGCTTTTGTTGTTTTCCTATAGAGTCTCCGTTTTCCTCCTCCTTACAGAAAACATTAAGCAGCATCATGCAGCGCAGGCCCTGTACCTTTGCGGTAGCACACTACTCTATGTCCTCAACTTCCATCTGCTTCACACGATCTAACAGATAAAATTATTCTGTAAACAGGTTGCAACAGTTCACTGTAGCAACCTGCCTCTGCGTAAGATAACTCAAATAATGATTTGAAAACTGCAACACTGTTCTACAGTCTGTTTGTTTTTTTGCTGAAGAATGTAATCAGGATGCAAAACCACAAAGTGTTTCCACTACCATCAAACCTTTTTGTTTTTGTTTTACTTTGACCTCAGCTCTCTGTGAAGGAGTTAGTGGTGTCACTAAGGGAGGGCCATGCAGGGACCTGTAATCTGGGAAGGGTGCCCTCCATTAGCCTCTCCATCCACAGTCCCAGCCTATCGAGCTTGTGGTGGACTTCTATGCTGGTGGCCCTACTGGAGCCCCTCTTGGGTACTGCCCCATCCTCCCTGGAATGGGACCTGGACCGAGAGTGGGAGCTGGACCTGGACCTGGACCGGGACTTTCTCCTGCTGTCGGAGGAGGTCTCGGACGAGGAGTCGTTGGGATCGTCCCCTGTGAAGACGGGTCTAAAGAGGCAAAAGTATTTCTTGTGGCCGTTGAGGGCCAGCACGTGGCCGGCGTAGTCTGGAGACTCCTCGTCCTCGTCCGAATGGCCCTCGCTCTGCATAGTGTCAGAGGTTGAGCGAAGGAGCGATGGCATCCAGTGGCGGTGCTTATCAGCATTGAGGAAGGAGAAGTGCAGAGTCTGAGTCCTGTAGTGGCAGAGGGCTTCAGGGTTATTAGGTGGACCAAGCATGGGCCAAATCAGGGCAACTTAGAGGACAAGGTGCATACTTAAAAAGCAAACAACTGAAATATCACAGAAGGAAGTAGACACTAAATTACTAACAGTTCCTTTAAACCAGAAACCATGTTCAGCTATAGTCTGCGTTCACAAGGCTCTTTTATATGAATAAACCAATAGACATAAATAACTATTCAAAAAAATGTTGTGCAGTGCTGAGACTTACCCAGAGAAAGAAAAGACCTCCTTGGCAAATTTCCTGAGCAGAGCATTCTTGGAGGCGTTGGTGAGCACCAGGACAACGTTGATGTGTCCGGGCCTCAGCTTCACCAGGTTGCTGATGTACGTGATGTCGGTCAACTCCGTCACTTCCACAAAGTCCTTCTTAGGAGGACGGCTACGTGGACCGATGAGAAAGATGGGAGGGAGGTATATCGTAGTCGTGTTATGAGGGGATCACTTCACAGCCAGTATTGCGAGGAGGAATGATTACAGATAGTATTAACTCTAAAAGACAGGCCTTTGTGAGTCCACACATACAGTGATTATCATGACGATATGGTTCATCTGCAGCAGATCATGAGACTTCATAAAGTGTGAAATATTGCATAGTGGATAGAGCAAAAGAAAATCAAAGGATGTGGTACAAAACTCCAAACCTGATCATCACAGCAAAACACTACACGTGTCGGCTACATTTCTGAACACTAAGGCATGTTTCATTATTGAGGAGAACATTTCTTGTGGAGTTATTGGGGCTGCTCTGACAACTCAAGGATGTGCTTAAGTTAAAGCAAACAAACCAGATGTTATCTGGTGTATTCTGCGTCCATCTTGTGGTCACTTCGCTACATTACCTTGAAGTATTGGCTCTACTTGATGCATCTTCCTCAGTTTGTGGTTGCTCCTTTGGCTTTGGCTTCCGGGGTTTGTTCTCACCTGGCTCACTAGAAAAGCGCCCCAAAAGAAGGAAAGTATCAGTATGGGCACTAATATCTCCTTCGGGGCAACACTAACCAGCCAGGATTCGACTCACTTGACATCAAAATCAGGACTAATCATGCAGAACTAGAAGACAATTAAGATGAAAAGATGCTGAATAACACATTGCTATTGTAGATCTAGCCAGTATCATTGAGTGCAAGACATTTTAATTAAATTCATTTAACATTTCAAATGTTTGGGCCTATGATTATAATATTGCAGAATACAAAAGGCTCATGCCGTGCTCACCTGAAGGCCTGAATGATGACGGTGCCAAAAAGAATGAAGAGAGCGGAGAAGATCAATGACAGAATGGGCATCATTTCTCGCCTTGAGGACAGAAAAATGCAACTTTTAAAACATTTAGGAGAAAACACCCAGCAGGCCATGTCAAACAATAACACTAAACTCAAATTTTAGCTACATTTTTGAATGGGTGTATCACACTAAATGCATGCCTACAGAGCCCCCACCAGGTTATTATGACATCGTGACGCTGAAGCATGACTCAGCATCAGCTACATTTGAGAGAGATGCTGCAGACTCTCTGGGTGAGTGTTGTCTTACCAGTTTGAGTAGAGAAGGTCATCGTATATTTGAACGATGTAATCATAGGCAGCATTCATCCACTGAATAATAAAAATCTGGGGAAGTTAAAAAATGAAATGGAAAACAACGAGATTAAAACAAAAAGATCTGGTCTGAGAACTAAGGTGAGTGTGTGTGTGTCCGCGGTGTCTTACAGGCGCCATCTCGTTGTTGAGTTCGGGCAGGGTGGCGTCTGAGCTCAGATAGGTGGGGTCTTTCTGCAGGAGCTCCAGCTGTTCGTGGAGGCGGTACTTATCTTCCTCACTGCCGTTCCAGCCACCGCTCACTGAGCGGTACATGACCTTGCCAGCGTGGCTCCGCCTCTCAATAATCACCACCTGTCAGTGGTGATAAAATGCAGAGTCATAGGACGCACATATTGGTTATCTGACACGTATAAAACTTTCCAGCAAGTGCACGTTGTCCTCAACGGTTTTTTTGTTCTGTTGTCATGCAGTTGATGTTTCTGCCACTGACCTGCGGTGAGACTGCAGCCTGATTGTGGAGCAGTGCCTGACAGAGAGGCTGCTGCTGACGCTGGTAGACGTAAGCAAACCGCAGCACGTCTTTTCTGTTAAATGATGCAAAGTCGAGGAAAGCCTTGTTGCCCGGAAGAAAGGCTTGGTCCTCCCCTGTGATCAGCAGCACACAGTACCTGCGAAGCATTTCACGGTCAATTCCCCTGCTGCAGCAGCCGATCCTTACACAACATTTCAGCTCAGAGTGACAGCTACTGAAAGGCCTGTCCGGCTATTCTGTTGGGATTTCCACATCTTACAGTTGTCATATGATGTCAACGGTCAAATCAGGACACGCAGCAGAGAGACGCCTCTTTCGATCAAGTGTTATTACACAAGAGGTACATTTCAGAGAGGTATTATATAAACTACAGGGATTAGAGGCTAAGGACTCATAAAATGTCTTACTTCCTCCGTCGGTGGAACTGCTTCACAGGGCACAGCTCATCAAAAAGCTGCTGGTTGACCAGCCGAGGCAGCTGCAGGAACTTGTTGTTGGAGACAAACTCGTCCATTATCTGTCGCTTCATCCCTTTGGCCTGAAAAACAATTCCGTAATTCAACAATTAAATATTACAAGTAATTTAGACTCCCGTTTAAAAACTTTGGATGGGGCACTTCGTTATTTTTGTACCTGTATGACGTCAACAGGCTTTTCTGTATCCTCC